AAAGATGGACCCTGTTTTCTTATCCAACATGTTACTCTGCATCTTTTATTGAGGAATTGAGACCATTAATATTGAAAGTTATTAATGGGCAGTCATTATTGATTCCTGCCATCTTATTGTTCAAGCTCTCCCCTTTTTGATTTACTGTTCTTGAAGTGTTTATTCCTTTGTCCTTTTGGGTGCAGTTAATCTTCATGACTGATGTTTTCCTTCTAATGCCATCTATAGAGCTCAGTTGGTAGAAAGAAATTGTGCAATGTTTTTCTTTCCCTGCCAGTTGGTGGTCTTGCTGCTGGTCACAGTCATTTGGGGCTGACATCTGTGATCTCTCAGAGTTTGTAGAACATCTGCCCAGGCCCTTCTGGATTTCAGAGTCTCCATTGAAACTTTAGGTGTTATTCTAATGGGTCTCTCTTTAAATGCAACTTGTTTTTCTTTCCCTTGCAACTTTTATCTTTTTTTGTTCTGTATATTTAGTGTTCTGATTATTATACATCATAGGGAATTTCTTTTATGATCTTGTCTATTTGATGTTTCGTATGCTTCTTGTACCTTGATAAGCATCTCTTTCTTTAGATTGGGAGAATTTTCTTCTATGATTTTTGTTAAAAAATTTTTTCTGTGCTTTTGACTTCAATTTTTTCTCCTGCCTCACTCCCTAATATTTGCAGGTTTGGTCTTTTCATAGTGTCCCAGATGTCCTGGATACTTTGTGCCTGAACTTTTTAGATTTAACGTTTTCTTTGATTGAGCTATCCACTTATTCTACTTTGTCTTCAAGACCTGAAACTCTCTCTTCTACGTCTTATAAGCTTACCTCTGAGTTGACATCTTACATTTTTCATTTTCAGTTTTATCTCAGTTTGAGTTTTCTTTAGTGACTCTATTTCTTTATCAAATTCTACTTTCATGTCTTGAAATGTTTTCCTTATTTCATCCAACCATTTGTGTTTTTATGGTCTTCATAAAGGCATTTATTCATATCCCCTTTAAAGTCCTTGCACATGTTTGCAATTGCTATTTAGAAGTCCTTGTCTTGTTTTTCTACTAACTTGCTTTGCTTGGGGCCTATTGAAGAAGGGTTGTAGGCTTCTGAAGGAGGCATGTTGTCTTGGCTGTTCATGTTTGTGGGAAGAGGGAGAAGAAGGAGAGAGAGGAAGAAGGGAGGGAGAGAGAGAGAGAGAGCACGCATTCTGGGATCTAAGCATCTGAACGGATTGTGTTTGAAGTGTTTCTTGGTGTAGATATCTGGTCTTGTCTTTATTGGTTGGATCTTCTGTTACTTGGTTAGTGTTGTCCACTTTGGGTCCTTGGAAACTGTAGTGGTTGTGGGGTCCCTGGTAGAAAATATTTCTGTGGTTTGGTGGGTGATACAAGCAGTGGACATAGGCTAGAAAAAGAAGACTGAGAAGGACTGAGGGACAGATCTGGGGGGACCCTGGATCAGCACTAAGAAGTGAAGTCCCCAGCAAATGGAGATAGATTGGGATAAAATGCTCCCACAGGCAGGCTGCAGTGGACTAGGAGTTAAGATTGGAGAGTACATTCATGTTTTGTGAAAGATTCCATACATCATCATCCAACTCCTCTGGAGCATTATAATAGCAATGTTCTTTTAAGTTCTCAGCCCTTCACTTTTAAATATAAGCACTGTTTCCTCCATCCTACTAAGATGTGATGCTGAGCTCTGAAAATAGAGACAAAGAAAGAGAACACACATAACCAGATCACATATACCCAGATCATACTACCAGACACTAGTACATGGTCTGTTGAGAATACATCCATAGTAGCTGTAAAACTAATCCAGCAGTGGGAAGGCAGTGGAAGCCACTTGTTCTAAGAAACTTCAGTTTCAGGGGTGACTTATTCCTAGAAGCCCTCACAGCTAATGGCAGACAGGGCTAATGGTAGGGAAGATGTAAAAAGTGTGGAAATTGGAGTAGGTGAGATGATGTTGCAAACACTGAATACATTCCCTACAATTTGTGTGCCCGCCAACCTGACTTCCAACTGCCAATGCTCATCCTTGGCTAAAGGGTTTTGGGGTCCACAGAGCCCACTCTGATTGCAAATATGGCAGTTGGTATTGTTAATGACTCTAGAAACTGTCCTTCACCAAAGTCTACTGCAAACTCAAGGATAAGCTCCCACGTCCTCTGGCCTCTTACACTTTGATAGGGTAAAGCTGAAATGTTGCTCCTCATGGTTCCCAGAACCATGGAGCAGACTATGTCCCCATTGCCAAAAGTGGGCATTTGCTGCATGAGCACTTCCTGTTGGCTGCGGTCACTATCCTGTCCACTTCCTCATTTTCTTAGTAGAGTTTTCAAGAATCACTTCTCCAACTATTTTCCCTCAAATGTGTATTTCAAAGGCTACTTCTAGGGGTTAGAACTAAGATGATTAGTTCTGCTTCTAAAGAGAAAGCTTTGTTCTAGAGTTACATAGGTGTTCAATCAGAAGCTCATTTATTCATTCAACAAAAACACGCTGTGCTCCCACAGGAACAGGCACTGAGCTATGCCTGGAAAGACGATGTATACACGTGTGTTCTGGGTGCATTTACCTGTGAATGCTCTAGGGTGAGCGGAGCTGACTATATGAGGCAGAGCATTATGGGACCACCGTGGTGCCAACCTTTGTTAGGCATAGCAAGATCCAGATGCGGTGGCCAAGTAGCCACAGATGAAAGGCCTAGTTCTAAGAAGCCTCTTGTCTGACACCCACTATTTTCCCCAGCTCAGCAGCACAAAAGGCTCTTTATGACGAGAGGCATCGGAGGGTAGTCCTGGCAAGTTCTGCTTGGGGAAATGAGAAGCTGGAATAAAGAGCCAGGCTGAGCCCTTTGTGTTTTTCCAGGTGTCTGTTCCCATCAGAGGCACTTCCAGGGTCTGACCTGCTGTGGGGATTCTTTCAGGCCTTTGAAGCCTGCAACCCCTCTGGCCATTAATCCTGCCCAGCAGCCTGGGAAGGGATGTTGCTACAAGGATGGGCCTCCACATATTTCAGAGAGCAGCATACCTCTGCCGAGGCAAAGGGAAGCACACAGACTGCACTGTGCTATCGGGGGTTGTAAGGAGAACCCACAGATTTTTAAAAAATAAATTAAAATATAAATGACAGGGCTGCAGAGTTGAAAAATAGTATTCAAGCAGCTGAATAAATGGTGTGCCTGGAACCATTCACGTGCCTGTCACTTTCCAGGAGGCTTCAAGGTGGAAGAGGGTCTTGTACCATGTTGCATGGCAAAAGGGACCTCTTCTTCCTTTCCTACCATCTCTGGATGCTGACAGAGGATACATTTGCACTATTTGCATGGGAACTTGCCAAATCTAATTCTATAATTTCTTTATACTGACACAAACCAAAGCACTATACCCAAGTGTTAGTTTCAATAGATATGGATTACCAGGCTAATGATCTGAGTTAAATGTTAATGACATATTACCTTCAGATCAAATAATAAAGATGATCATTTGAGCCTAGTTGAATTTTTTAAAGATGTTTTTATTTTACTTTTTATGAGTATGGGTGTTTTGTCTGCATTTATGCACCAAATGTATGCAGTGCCTGTGAAAACAGAAGGGGTCACCAGATCCTCTGGAATTGGAGTCACAGGTGGTCTCAAGCACCATATGGGTTCTGGGAATCAAACCTGGGTCCTCTGGAACAGTAATTTTAACTGTTGAGACATCTCTCCTGCCCTTAATTCAATTTTTGTCTGCCTTTGAGTGTACATTAAATCCAGGTCCAGTGAGGAAAAGCAGCCCTTTCCTCTTCCAACACAATTCCTTTCATATCACATCTATGGAGCAATACATATATGGCCTATAGCTCATTTTAAATTTGGATTCTGAATATGACAGAAAATGTGGTATTTTCCTTCTACATTCAGCTTTTTTCTGTTGTTGTTTAACATAATGAACTCTAGTTCCAACCTTTTTCCTACACATGACATTTCATTTTCCTCTTTTAAAGTCGGCATATAAAGTAGGGGATTCAGAATGTCATTTTCTACATATGTGCCATTATACTTTGTTCTTATCTCTCTCCCTAAGGTTCTCCCTCATTCCCTAGGGCTCTAGGGGGAGTTACAGGAAGGGGAATGAGGGACAGGTTTGATCAAGATACAATGTACTCATGGATGGCATCTTCAAAGAATAAATATAAATGTTTTAATTTCATAATTTTATACAAAAAATACTATTTCCAGCTGGGCAGTGGTGGTACACACCTTTAATCCCAGCACCAGGAGGCAGAGCCAGGCGGATCTCTATGAGTTCGAGGCCAGCCTGGTCTACAGAGTGAGATCCAGGACAGGCACCAAAACTACACAGAGAAACCCTGTCTCGAAAAAGAAAAAAAAAAAAAAAAAACTATTTCCAAGCATCAGCTATTGTGAATTATAAGACTTTTTAAAAAATCCCTTCAGTGTGTACCATTTGGCCATATATAGAGAGCATAAGGATGTACGGAGCAGGTTGCATGATCTCTGTAAGTTAATAGTTCTTGCTTTTAATACGGTATGTAGCTCCTTAATCTCAAAGGATGAAAAGTTTGCACAATCATTTACTTTACTGGAATCAAGCCCATGTCAGGTCTGAGGCCTGATGAGTACTGTTGATGTTTATGTTCTATCATCTTTCAAGTCAGAGTATTTTGCTGTATCTTTGTACCTTGTGTCTCAGGCACTCTCTTCCCTCACCCGTGTGGTTCCTTCAACCAATCATGGCCACCTCATGTCATAGACAGGCCCAGGAGCAAACTGAGGCCAAGTTGCAGTTGCAGTCTCCTGTTTAAACGCTAAGCTCCACGGGCTGGGATTCAGCTTATCGCCCTCTCTTTTAGGCAGACAGACGATGAGCTTCTCAAAGAAAACTGGAAGGAAATTTTCAGTCACATTAATTTTCAGGACGACGATGACGAGGCACAGCTCAGTGGGCTGGTATCAAATTTGTCTTTAATGACTCTTATCCGACATTCCTATCTTATTACAGGCCGCTGCAGAAGAACCCACAATCCCAAATGTGCCTTCAAGAGCACGGGAGGATTAAATAATGCATGAAAGATTTCCTCACTGGTCTGTCAGCCTTCAATTTTGGAACATACAGAGCATGACTCAGAGTCTCAGGAGCGGCAGGAGCAGTGAGCAGTGTCGCCGACTTTCTGGATATAATTTTTTAACAGAAAAATCCATTTCGGGCATAATAACTTTTACTTTCATTTTACCGTATTTTACAGACTAGAGCTGCACGGGTCAAAACTGAAGCAACTGGTCACGTACGGCTATTGAATAGTGAAAACGTGGCTAGTTTGAATCCAGATGTGCAGTTTGTATAAAATAATGCATCAAAATCTTGAAGACTTCATATAAAAGAAAGAAGGAAAATTGTTCATTAATATTTTCACTTAATGTATATTGAGGTAACGATGTTTTGCATCTATGGGGGTTATAGAAAAATATGTTTTTGAGCTAAATTTCATCTGATCTTTTGACTTTTTAACTTAGCTATTACAGTGCTTAAAATTTTTGTATATAAGCCACACAAGTGGCTTACATTATTTACAATATTTATTTCTTGTTAATGTTAGAGAGGACGTTTCTCTCTCAAGAACTGGAAGGGACTTTGAGAATTTACCCACATGCATGTTAAGAAGGAGCCACAGTTTCATGGGCATGGATAGAAGACATGAGACTCCTGAGTGAAAGATGCAGGAGCGTTTGTCACTCATAGTTATAGTCGTTACAGGGTAACAGGATGTTCACATCAATTCATAAACCCCAGGAACCAGCAGGCTTGATGACACATGGGTGGTACGCAGTCCTAACGGGAAAGGAACTCCAAACTTAGGGAAACTGATGCTTTCATAAGTGCAGTGCATGCACTTCCCTACTCCACTGTCTCTATCTCCAAGTACTGTTAAGTACTAAGCACCCTTGAGAAGATGATCCGGGACAAAGGACTGCCAGTGCACAGCTTACACTATGTACAAGGATGTAAGAGACCCTGCAGAATTGCTTACTGACTCCCTCTACAATCCTCCTTGGCCCATACATTTCTTTTCAACGTGGTATTTTTCTAAAGACCAGCTCAGTATATATGGCTCAGAAGTCAACATTCACCCTTCACTCACTGGTTCTGGAAGAACAAATGGCTTCTTTATTGAATTATGCACCATAATGTTTCTTAAGCCTGCTCCCTTCCTGTTGTAAAAAACAATATTTTCTGGGACTCACTACAGTCAAATTTGGCTTCCTGTACCTTTGACACTGTTGAAGAAAAGTAAGACAGATCAGAAAATGCAATTAAAATGGAGATTTCCCTGACATGGACATTTATGAAACATTTAGAAGTCTGGGCCCTTTAAAAACAGTTGCTTTACTAAATGGTGATTGTAGACCTGCTTAAAACCCTGACTCCAGGCTTCCAGTTCCCATGAGAGCATACAGGTCTAAACAGGCTCTGCCTTGCACCCTGGAATTTTATTCCTTCAAAGCATTTTACAAACATCAAGTAACTGATTTTAACAAGACAGTGGTGAACTTGATCATTAAGCACTATTATTCAAGTCTGACTGGCATAAATCGCTGGCCTGAGGCCTCAGTAGTCAGTGTTAAAAGGGATCTCGAAAATCAGGCTTCCACCCTATATTAATATCCTTGGATCCAGTCTATTTTTGTGTTCAAAAGCATCTTGTTCTGTTGTCTTAAATGCACCCAATAAGATCTTTCCCTGTGATACTATATTCTGTCCTGGTGCTTACAGATAACTTGTTTCAATTATTTTAAAATCATGGCTGCAGCTCCGCATCTATCCTTGAAGGGGTTGATTCTACAACTTACATAATCACCCATATCTGCTGATGCATAGTATTTATATAACTTCGATACACCCTCCTGTATACATGAATCATCTTTAAATTACTTATAATGCCTAATATGGTGCGAATTCTTTATAAACAGTTGTTAAATGGTGTTGTTTGGAATATTGACAAGAAAAAATATCTATCCGTGTTCTATGTGATGCAATTATTTAGCCTTGGGATAGTTTTCATAAGATCTACACCTGCAGAACCCACTGATGCAGAATTTATTGTTAATTATTTGCATTCATTTAAGTAGGTAACAGATGCATAGATGAAAGAAAAAAGAGAAGATGGATTTTCACCAAAAAAACCCAACAACTGTGCTCTCTATTTTTCTGTCACACATCCCTTAATTCTCCTCCTCCCTTAATCTCTTGTGAATATTTCCATAAACAAGCCGTGCACATAAAAGAATGCCCCTTAAATTATGCAATTAGTATATAAACTGTGCATCTGTTTCTGCAACTTGCTTTTCTCATTCTCTAATCTTAATAAATTATTCCTTATCAGTAGTGGCTCATTCTTTTAACTACATTGTATTATACTTAGTCTGTTCTGGAGGGCATGTAGGTGGTTTCTGCTACTGGCTATTATCAGGATAGCCTATTTAGACAAAACTTACCCATGATTGTTTTCGTGTCAGGCTCCCCAGGGGATATTCTCACACTTAGGGAACTTCTTTGAATATGAAATGTTCCTCACAGGCTCATGTGTTGATAATTGGTCCCTATCTGGTATTGCTATTTGAGGACACTTGTAGGAACTTCAGGAGATAGTTTTAGTAGGAAGAAGTAGGCCACTGGGGACATAGTTGAAGGTTATGCCTGGTCCCTTTCTTGCTTGCTCTGCTCCCTAACTGCCATGAAGTAAGTCGCCTCTGCCACATGCTCCTCCCACATCACCATCTAGAATCAGTGGAACCATGAGCTGTGAACTAAGCCACCTGAAACCATGAACCAGAATTTAACGTCTTTCCTTTCAATTGTTTCCTCGGGAATTTATCCCAGCGACACAAGAGTAATGCATAAGAGCATTGTGAAACCCAAAGAACAGTGAGAGGCAGTCAATAAACCAGGTACCCAGATCTTTCTGGAAGTGAGAATCTGTGGAATAAAGGCTAACCAATCAGCCGTCAGCCTCCAGTGGGGTCTCCAAGTGTTACAGATAAAGGCTCTAGTGAGCTAATGGCCATCATGAGATTAATCCTGAAGAGCTGAATTGAGATGATGTTACTAACGCTGAGGGTGTTGATGGACAAGGAAAAGAAGAGATCCAGCCATAACCATGCAGGGAAGTTAGGAGTCTCTCCAGTGTTCTGACAGAGGCGGGAAGCTTTTGGGAAGGCATGCCTGTGGTCCCGATGCCAACCTACCACAAAGTGATGACATCCCAAAACGTGTCAGGGTAGTGCCATTGAGACTTCATTCCTGTTGGATGACCGCATCCTTCCACTCTTTTTGAGAACCACACAGAAGCCATCCAGAGTCTGCCAGCTGTTATATAACATGAAGCATTTATTTAACTTATTATTAGTCATCAAATCCACATTGAAACTACACTTTCTGATCAAAGACCCTGGGATATATCCAAAACAAACAAACTGACAAAAAAAAAAAAAACCCTCAAGAATGAAGCAAATTAAAGACCATTGATCTGACTACTGTTCCTACGGGTGGAAAGCCTGTCCTCTGGGACAATGGCGGTAGGACAAGGAATTACTCCACTTAGGCAGGGGTTCAGAGTGAACTGCAGAGTCAGTCAAATACCTGTGGCTCTCCAGCACTCCTCAGGAGGTGCACTGTACAAAGAACCTAGGGCAGCAGAAATCCATTTAACCCTGAAAGACTGAAGAGTAATTAGACCGTCCGGAGTACTCAGTCACAACAAGGCACAATCCTCCTGGATGACCGACATTTTTAAAATCAATAATAACCCACAGACAGAAGTTATAAATTCAGTAACATAACTCTAATAAACACTATCATCAGAAGTAACTACTGTGGCGCTAGAGGTGTATCTCAGTGGTAGAGCACATGCTTAGCATGCACAGGGAATTGTCTTCAATCAATCCTCAGAATAAAACAAAACAAAACACAACAAACAACAACAAAAGGTCCTCTATTTATAGCATAGCATGAATACTTCCAAAGAGTTAAACTGTGTGGCTATGGGCTGGAGAGATGGCTCAGTGGTTAAAGAGCACTGACTACTCTTCCAGAGGACCTGGGTTCAATTCTCAGCACCCACATGGCAGCTCACAACTGTCTGTAATTCCAGTTTCTGGGCACCCAACCCCCATGGCAAAACACCAATGCACATAAAATAAAAATAAATAAATTTTACTAGACAGGTGCTTTAATCAGTTAAGCCACAGAGCCCACACAAAATAAAAAAATTTTAAAAAGGTTTTTTAAAAAAACCTGTGTGGCTATACAGTGGCATAAACTTGAAACCTGTCAAATCTCACCATCATTTTTATTTTAATCCAATTAAGTAAATACAACAAATACCTCCTTAGTAGCTGTTATGGATAAGGGCCTGTAGTAGAGCTAGAAAAAAATAGCAAGAACTTTCCTCATCTATAAAAAATCTTACAATAAAAAAATCTTACAATAGAAGTGGAAGGTGAATGGCTTCCATGCTATAGAGAAAACAGCTGTTTTATTTAGGATCCCGCCAGAAGTCGACTCTGAAACAAAGTTTCAGGAGCAAGCAGTGAGCCATGAAGTAGACAATGATGGAGAAGTGAGACAGGAAAAGGAAAGAGCAAATAAAGGTGTTTTTCAAGGCAGGTGCCACTGTGGGCACCAAGCTAATTACCAGTGAGGAGCTACATTAAACATGCTCAGGGCTGTCCCGTCTGAAGGGCAAAGAGGTACTTTGTGTACCTTGTTTGCGTTGGCTGACAGTTGCTCCTGGCTTGTGTTAGCCACCTCCTATTTTCAACTTACTGTTTCAAAAAATGAAAGAAATTCACAGTAGCTGGAAGTTGTGAACTGGAATAAGGGTGAGGAGATCTGGGAGATACACAAGTCAGGTCTGATGCTATTATAATAGCTCAGCAGAGATGCTAATAAAATATATGAGAGAGAAAAAGGAGGGCTTAACTCTTGTCACAGGTTATAGACAATCTCCCAGCTCAGGGCTTTTGATCTAGATCCAAGTATAATAAACATTTGTCATAGTTATTTGGCACGTCTAATATTTGATATCCTTCTTGTTTACAGGAACTTTGTAAGTCTGCGCCTCCTCAAGATGAAAGGCAGAAAGTGTGCTCTCCAGCTTTCCGTACACGTGTGGAGTAGACAGTTGACCCTGGTTCTGCCTGTCAGATCTGCCCTTGTAAAGCTTGACTTGAAGGCTATGAGGTAAATAAATCAAGTAACTATTGGCTTAGCTTTGGGGAGAGAGCCACCACCTACCCTCCAGCACAGCAGCAAGGAAAAGTCTAGTGCCTCCTAGTGTCAGAAATGGGAAGTGTGCAGTCTGTGTGCAGGAAGTTTGAGTGCTGTCTGATGTAGATTGGAACTGTGGAGCAGCCTTCAAGTTACAAAATAAAGTGTCTGTGTAATACTCAATACCCTTTATAAATTACTTGTCTGCAAAATCAGGTGAGTATAGTTCTGTGTTTTGTTTTGTTTTTTTGTTTTGGTTTTGGCTTTGGCTTTTGGTTTTTGGTTTGTTTGTTTGTTTTTGCTCCAGGGAACCCTGGCATCATGGAGAAAAGGAGAAGAAAGGCGAGGGGAAAGGGGATAGCTATAGTTAGACAATTCCAACAAGGAATTCTAAGGCCCAGAGTTAGGACAAAGACAGACAGGAAGGAAGTGAAGCCCCAGAATGTTCTCAGGAACATTTGCTGACGGATGTGGCTGAGGAAGAAGGGAATTCATCACTAAGAACTGGACGGTGCCCTCGGGTTCCTGGTAGGGAGGAATGCCATTCAACAGCAAGCACACTTTGAGGAACTGAGCTTGCATCTCAGTTGGCTGCTAGTTGTGGTAAAGAAGAGAAAGCAGTGAGAGAGGGTCTTGTAGTTTCACTGTGGGTGGGATTGAGAAACAACGATAGTACAGTATCTTTTTTTTATCTTTGAAGATAGGAATAACAAAACTTACTTGTTCTGCTCTGATCTGCTTCAGACAGCTGGTGACAACAGAGTATGTTAATCAGCCATCACAAAGTCCATGTACCAGAGGAACATGTAAGTTACCTAAATAAAGAAAAAGGTAGATTTTTAAATTGTTTGGACAAAGAGTAAAGGTAAGCAAAATGTATCTAAAGTTATACTTGGATAGAAACAAAAACATTAAGTCTGGGCCACAAAGTGACCCTGGGTCTATTTCCTTAGTAACAATAAAGTTAGGGTAGATGTCGATGCTGAGTACAGACACTTCTCTGAAGTGCTGAACCTGAGGTAGAAGCGTGTCCCTTCCCTGTGGCAAAGCGACTTGGGTCCTCCAGACAATAGTGCAATGCTGTGTTCTTAACCAATCTCAGTCCAGTGAGTTTCTCAGTGAGTGGGCAGTAGATATCACTCTCAGAGAGAGCCATCTTGACTCTATAAAGTTGAAATGTATCCTTAGGAGAAACAGTGTTTCCAGGTAACTCCACAATCAGTTCTAGCTGCATCTTCCTTACAGTCAGATGAAAAGCTAGGATTTTTTTTTATCCCACAAGTTTGTTTTTGTCTACCGAGTCTCTCTTTTTGACCAAAAAATAGTAAGACCAGCCTGCTGGGCATTATTTCATGAAGTTAGATCTTCATTATTGCTCAAGTTCTACTGACTAGGGGGCTGTCTGGACAGGTGGATGAAATCCAGCCCTTTATATGTTCTCTTGGTTAGGATGAGCTATTAAACACTTGATTTGGCAAAGACTTCAAAGTACCATGTAAGACTTTGTCAACTACATCTTTGAACAGTGTGATATATCAATAGGAAAAGAAATGGTTACTCCAAGAGCATAAAATACTTGACCTAGACATTGAGGCTATCATCATAATATATATATATATATATATATATATACACACACACATATATGTGTGTGTGTGTCTGTGTCTGCTGTGTCTGTGTGTGTATACATATATATATACATATATATACACACATATATATATAGAGAGAGAGATCCATGTGTGTTCATGTACAAATTGGCATCATAAATAATCAATAAACCACTGCGATCATACAAGCAATTGCTGTGGGATGGTCTGTATGTGCTCTGATTGGTCAATAAATAAAACACTGATTGGCCAGTGGCCAGGCAGGAAGTATAGATGGGACAAGGAAAGAGGAGAATTCTGGGAAGTGGAAGACCGAGAGAGAGACACTGCTAGCCGCCAAGATGACAAACAGCATGTGAAGATGCCGGTAAGCCACGAGCCACGTGGCAAGGTACAGACTTATAGAAATGGATTAATTTAAGCTGTAAGAACAGTTAGCAAGAAGCCTGTCACGGCCATACAGTTTCTAACCAATATAAGTCTCTGTGTTTACTTGGTTGGGTCTGAGCGGCTGTGGGACTGGCAGGTGAGAGAGACTTGTCCTGACTGTGGGCCAGGCAGGAAAACTCTAGCTACAAGCAATATGTTCTGGGAGGATTTTGTTCACATTTGAATATTTACTTTCAACTATAATTATTACATATGTAAATTGGAATGAAATTTCTTTGGGAACTTCACATTTTGAAATTCTACTAGCAAGCTGGAGATACAGATGAGTGGGTAAGAGCACTTGCTATGGAAGCCTAGGGACCTGAGTTCAAATCTTAGTACCCACATAAAAAGCCAGGTGTGGTTGGGCTTATTGGTTACCAGTCTACCTCAAGGTTGAGTGAAAGACTCTGTCTCAAGAGACTATGAGAGTAAGATCAGGACACTGTACACACTTCTATGGCTTCCACACATGCTGTGGGATGGTCTGTATGTCAAATGTGTTGCTCTGATTGGTCAATAAAAAAACACTGATTGGCCAGTGGCCAGGCAGGAAGTATAGGCAAGACTAACAGAGAGGAGAATTGAGAGAACAGGAAGGCGGAGGGAGTCACTGCCAGCCGCCGCCATGACAAGCAGCCGGTAAGCCACGAGCCACGTGACAAGGTATAGATCTATAGAAATGGATTAATTTAAGATATAAGAACAGTTAGCAAGAAGTCTGCCATGGCCATACAGTTTGTAAGCAATATAAGTCTCTATGTTTACTTGGTTGGGTCTGAGCGGCTGTGGGACTGGAGGGTAACAGAGATTTGTCCTGACTGTGGGCCAGGCAGGAAAACTCTAGCTACACACACATGCTCATTTGAACACACATGCATGCACACACACACACACACACACACACACACACACACACATACACACACACACACACACAAATCTTACTAGTCATTGAAATTGAATGCATGTTTATTTTTCTAAACATAAAATGCATCAATAATAGTGTGGTTGAGTATGTACATTCACCAAGGTAGACATGGGCGATCAATACTCTTCATTCTGTTTATTATGCCTCACTTTTAATGTAATTAAATTCTTTTAATGTAAAAGAAGTAAAGAGTACCACTGGGTATAAATTTCTTGCTGAAGGTTATACAGCAAAACTTCAACAAAATGATCATTGTATGAGTAATTGTGAAAACAGTGGAAGTTGTTTACTATTTAGATTTGTGCAAGCAACGACACCAACAATCAAAAGCTTCCACACCAAGTAAGGAAACAGAATGGTGAGACACACTTGATTCTTAGAAAGAGTGTGACAGCTTCTTACATTATTGGCATGCACTTGAACTCAAGTTGTCCAACTCCACAGCCTGTGTTCACTTCTAAGTTATATTAAATAAACATGAAAATGTGTGATGGAGGGCCCAGTTGCTAGTATTTTACATGGAGTTAGTCGTTTGGAAAGGCTGACTTGCCAGTGTGATGGGCATAAAATATTTCAAACATGCTAGAAGAACCAAGAAGCTTAAAGAGACCTTGTATTTAATGAAGAACATCTAAACAAGCTTGACCTTCCTCAAGGCTTTCATGGTCCTCAGAGGAAGAGGTAGCTGAGAAGAGAGAGGAGTGCTCTTAAATATTTGAAGCTTCCCCAAATGCCAAATCAAGAAACACCATCCCCAGCCCAGGAGCGCCACTACTCCCACCTCCAGCCCAGGAGCACCACTGCCCCCCAGCCCAGGAGTGCCACTGCTCCTCTGCCCCAGGAGCGCCACTGCTCCAAGGGGACACACCCTTGCTGTCAGGAAGAAAGCAGCATTTCGAAATGCTGAGGACCAAATCTGAAACAGAGAAAGTACGTTTTTCCTCTGCTAGTTAGTCTTCTTTATATTCTACTGAGAAGTTGAAGTTCTTTCAAGTTACCATATGCCCCTTTTTATTGTATTTACTTACTTGTTGGAGGAGTGTGCATGTGGCAGGGGCCAAACATGCCACAGCACACATGTGTGAATCAGAGGACAAGTTGGCAGAGTCAGTTCTCTCCTTCCACCATGTGGAGCCCACAGACTGAATTCAAGCTTGCTTGTCAAGCTTGGTAGCAAATGCCTTTACCTGCTGAGCCATCTCACTACTTCTGGGTTATGAAATATCTTGTGACCCTCATCCTCTTCCTTACCCAGAGAAGATGCCAGTGTTAGCACAGACAAGCCTTCTCTGATCCTACATACCCAGGATCTAAGGATGTGAACGCACATATCTCTATGGACAGGATAAGCATCATCTATCACTGTGGGTGAGATAAGCACAGTGCGCTGCCATTTGCTATACCCCAGGAGTTCCTCACAGCAGCAGTCCATAGAATGAAGACCTGACTGCTCACAGGCTCTTCTCAGCTTCTCACCCACTCCAGTGTGGCCCTTGGAGCCACAACAGGTGACCACCTAAACATAGATGCATCTTCCTAGGCTAGGGTCTGGCAGCTTCTCGTGGTAGCTTGTTACTCTCAATTCAGACCTAGTGTGGAGGAGGCAGGGTATGAAGGTAAGCAAGTACACCCTTGGAATCTCTCTCATTGGAGAAGCTGGGGTTCAGACAGACCCCAAGAAGTTAATTCACTTTCCCAAGAGTAAACTTCGGTGCAGAGAGAACAGAGATCCTGGGTGGGCCTTGGGCAAGAGTACAAATAAGACCCATGACATTCCTTGTCGTTTTACCCAATTATATGAACTTTTAGGACTCACTTCAACCTGTTTGAGTTTTATTGTTGATGAGAATAATTTTCTTCCTCAGTTTGGTTATTTTAATAACAATTGGAGAGCTTACTGCTTCTTATAACAGCTAAACTTGGAAAGTAATTTTAAAAGGCTTACAATGCCACATGCCAGCAAGGAGGCAGACAAGACCCCTCACATGCTACCAGTGAGTATACAAGGACACACTTGGAAACTGCACAAGCAGTTTCTGACGAAGTTAGACACGCCCTTGACTTATCACCAGTGGCCCACTCATGATGCTTAGGCAAGAGAAATGAGAGTGTTTCTCTACATAAAGACCCGAGCAAGTGGGTTTGCAGAAGCTTCATTCATAATCAACCCAAACTGAGAAGAACGCAAATGTCCATCAGCTGAACAATGGGCAAGCAAAATAAAGGAATATATATATATATATATATATATATATATATATATATATGTACATGTAAAACATGTATAATATAATAATAGAGGGATAAACGGGAATGACCAGTTGATTCTTGAGGTAACACAGATGGCTTCTCCACCACATGCTTCTGCTGCCATGATGTGCAGCCCGGGGCACAGGACCGAGCAACCACGCACCTTCTGAAACCATGAACCATAAACCTCCTCCACCAGCTTAAGTTGCGCTTTCCAATTTTAGTCACAGCTGCACACAGGCCACCAATAAAGCCAATGTCTTGTGTCACTCTTAGATTGCCGTTTAAATAGCCTTTCCTCAGGCTGGCTTCCTT